CTTCACATACATACACCTTAAGAGATATCAAGTAGGCGTAACATGTTTTCAAAAAATTAGGGTTGGCATGCAGAAGAATTTTGAGTCAGAGATTTTGCTGGTTTGGGCATGCACTCACAAAAAGGTTGCCAACCCCTGTTCTATGCTATGTGTTTCATATACTGTAATTCTTTTTATAGTTTCAACAACCTTTTTCATTATATCTGCTTTATATCTGAAAAAAAAATAACAAACTGGGACACAAAAAATTTAGTAACTTTTCCATAATCACCCAGAAATAAATGCTGCCATAAAATTCAAACTAGCCCCTTCTGACACCTCCTGGATAAAAGTGTGACAATGGTAGAATACATATGAGCAAGAAACTTAAAGGGAGCAGAGGCAGAGATCTAGATTGTAGTTATGTAGCTAATGCTTATGGTAGATAAAGATGGCTCTAGATTGAAAGCGGATCAGTAAAAGCAAGGAGTTGGATACACAGCCCCTAGATAATTTCCTATTGACTGATGGTGTTTACATTTCACCTTTATGAGAACACCAGAATGTAATATAACAGGTTGGCTAAAATAGTGATCAACCATTACACAACCACTTTCTCTTTTTACTGAAACAACTACAGGTAATTTCAACTCACTACTACCTAATATACATACCTATAACCTCTGTTCAAATTCGTAAACAATAAGCAAATGCCACCAGTTGTAATTACTGTTCACATCCAACATCCCAGTTCCACACCATGGTATAAATCAGCCCTATTCCCTTATGGCCAAAGTTTGTTTTTGTTTGTTTTTTTAATATGTTTATTTTTTAATTGATTTTAGAGAGAGAGGAAAGGGGAGAGAGAGAGAGAAACATTTACTGGATGCTGGAATCGAACCAGCAACCTCTAGGTGCATGGGACAACATCCAACCAAGTGAGCCACACCACCCAGGGCTATTGTATCATAACTTTTAAAGTTGCTACCTGATACTGACCATATTTGGGGACAGTACTAATTGGATAAAGATATATTTAATTTCATAATTGATATGATATTTGATGTACGTGACATTTTAATGTGCACATTCCTACTTTATTATATTTCAATATAGTAGAAAAATTACAGTTTTCATTGGAACTCACAATGATCACTTTTCTAAGTTCCTGGAGTATATGAGTATATGCTTATTAATAAGATAACTTTTGCTAATATTCTTTCTTTACTACACATTTATTACATTCATTTTGTGGCTTTAAGTTATAATTGATGCTCATTTTGGCTTACATTTCATTTTTTTCACGTTATTTCAGTTACCACCTAAAAACTTTAGGAAATTAAACTAAATCCCAATGGCCTGCACTGGAAGAAAATGATATAAAGAGGATATTGACTTGAGTGGTTTCACACAGAACCTTAGCTTAATTGAATTTGTACAAATGATACTCTCTGTTATAAGAGTACAACTAAACACATTAATTACTTTTTCAAAGGGTCTTGTTAAAACAAGTCAATATGAAAACATTAGTTGCAAAATATCAGTGCCCATAATGTTTTATAGAATCAAGGGAATTTAGAACTATAATAATCTGTTCCAAATTTACACAGGATATTCTCAGATGCCTCATTAACTTGAAATATATCATCAAATAATCTGTATAAAAACATATTTGCATCCTTGCTCATATGTCTCAGTTGGTTGGGAGTCATCCCATTCACCAAAAGGTTGCCAGTTTGATTCCCTGTCGGGGCACATGCCCAGGTTGTGGGCTCAAGCCCCAGTAGGGGTGTGTAGGAGGCAGTGATCAATGTTTTGCTCTCATATCGATGTTTCTCTCCTTTCCCTCTAAAAATCAATAAATAATCTTAAAAAAACATATCTGTAATGACAGCTACACATTTTAAGACTCTTAAATATTCAAACAGTTTTGAGTGTGTCTGTTATTTAAAGGATAGCATTGCCTTTATAATTTTACTTTGGAAATATATTTTGATTTCAAATGCGTATTCATGATATCACCCCATGAAGTGGACCCTGGCAGCTAAGGAATTGATTTTTCAAGCATTACCATACCAAAATCAACATAAAAGTCTGTGGGTCATATCACCAAACCAAACATTATATATTTAAATGTATGCATTGCATGTTTCAGAAAGAAAGGACTGAGCCTTCTACACCCTTGTGGTGGCCATCAAATTGCTTCTTTGACTCCCAAAGTTATTTATACAAAACTCGCACACATAAGACAAGCGAGTATTTATCTACTCTGGTATATGCATAAACAGAAAAGGCTGTGGGACCGCAGCAGGATCCCCAATTACAGGTCAGCCACAACTTTTCTCTGTGATTATTGGCTACAGCAAATCTGGAAAAAAATATTGCTGTTGGATTTTAACATCTTTGTATGCTTTTAAACATCCCTGAGACTAGAAAGGCACTATAGAATTTTGCAAATAAGCAATCTTTTTTCCTATTTGCACAGCATGTTTTTAGCAAAGAAAAACACGTGTGGGAAACAAGAAAATGTACCTTTCAAAAGTTATTTGTGTCAGGAATGAAGCTGTCTCCAACTCTAATTTCAGTTTGAAAAGGATTTCGACACTTGATATTTCTCTTTGTCAATATATTGACATGAGTTTCTTATAGAGTTTTTACTGCAGTTGAAAAATCCTGTGAAAACCAGGCTATACGTTACATATTTTAATATAAATAGTGTCTGGCCACATTTTTATGCAGGAAGCACTCACACTTGCTTAGACATTCAAATCTCTTGGTTAACTTAATATTAAGGGTCTCTTTCAAAATCTAAATGGGTAAGTTCCCATTTTTGTTTCTATAAATTACTACAATTTATTCTGTGATTTTATTTAGTACTACTAAAATAATTCAGTAATGCAAACTGCACTCAACACTGGTCAGGATACCAAGTGTTAGATACAGGGGTGGGCAAAGTAAGTTAATAATAATAACAAATAATACCATAACTAAAATAATAAATAATAATACAAGAACAAACTATGTGTCAAGTACTCACAATTATAGACCTACTTTTCCCTATCCTGTATTTAGATACAATGATTTTGCTTTTCTTCTGGTTTCATTCAACTACCTAAACTCTACATCGCATATATATTTTAGTCATAAATTAGATGAACAAATTAAGATAACAAAGTAATCAGTGATGGGTTAACTACATAATACTTGAAGAGATGATTGTGAGGCCTTAGGTTAAGCCATCAATAATTCTCAACATTAGGGTAGTTCGATATCTACAGGTGCATTGCTGAGAGTGATATAGTTCATGTTACTTCTAAGAAAGCTTTGTTCCTGAAATACATTCTTGGGTTCAAATTTTGTCTCTTGTGAAGCTAAAGGCAAACGAATGTGCTACAATGTGGAACTGGTTTCATTAGTTGTAGCGCATGTGTATATGAGGGTGCCAGCAGTAAGCCAGTATATTTCCCACCATGACAGTCTCATGACATTTCTGGTATCCTGCAGGAAGGTTTATATATATGCATTTTTATAAGTGTTTAAAGAATATTTTTTGAAAACAAGTTCAAATCACATATTTTTGTGTGAGAATGATTTATGGAGATCTAATTTATTTTTGCCAACTCCAATCTATTTCCCTTTTTCTATTTATTATCATCTCAATTTTTCTTCCAAACCATCCCATCCCTCCTCTCAGTCAATGAAGATCCTATGGAGCTTACCCTGTCTTCCCATTCATAGACTGAATGGCCAGTGACCCACACTTGACCTCATTGCTTGGTTCAGTGATACCCAGGTGAACCAAGCCTGCACATCAGACTGCACTGTAAAACTTTCACTTCTGGCATTTTTTGTGAGGCAGTGCTGAAAGCTAGAGCGACCTGACAGCCTCCTTGCTACCATGAAGGCTGAAAACCTGGAGGAGAATCTGCATTTTGAGAAAAGCAGAGCTGTAAGAAAGAATGAGGAAGTTCCTGATGGCATTAATTGACTCATGTGAGCTGTCAAAATTCCCGATTTAGTGAGGTTATTTCATGAGATATATGTTTTCCTGGTAACAAAGTCAAAGACACTGATTTTTTACTCTTCTGTGATTCTATGTTCAAGTTCACCTACTTCCAAATTAGATACCTTACTATAATTTATGTACCTCTTTGAACTAATGTAAATCCTTTCAGGAAGAAAATAATATAAATAAATCTAGAAAACAATACACATTTAAAAATACCTCTGTATTTATCTTTTTATATTTTTACAATGTACTCTGTATTTAGCTATTTTTGTTTTCTAAAAACTGTAGGCAGTAAGAGTATTTTTATGTGGCAAACACACATACATACATACGCAAACAAATAAAAAACCTCCCCAGGTGGTAATGCCTGATTTAGAATCCAGATTCTAAACCAGCCGTGGGCAAACTACGGCCCTCGAGCCAGATCCGGTCCGTTTGAAATGAATAAAACTAAAAAAAAAAAAAAGACCTTACCCTTTTATGTAATGATGTTTACTTTGAATTTATATTAGTTCACACAAACACTTCATCCATGCTTTTGTTCCGGCCCTCTGGTCCAGTTTAAGAACCCATTGTGGCCCTCGAGTCAAAAAGTTTGCCCACCCCTGTTCTAAACTCTGGTCCTGTGCTCTGGTTATCCTGAATATTCTGAATGTTTAGAAAGAAGAAGACAAATGAAGTCAACCCACATTGAAAATTTTCTAATGTCAAAGTGTCCGGGTATGCTCTCATTGAAGGTAAGTAGGTTAACATTAATATAAAGTATTTTCCCAAACATTTCATTCTAACTTCCAAAATACTTTTTTTGTAATGGCTGAGGAATTTATTTGTGGCAAATTACTTACTCTTTATCATTTAGATCAATAGCATACCATTTGATGGAAATTCTATACTGAAGCACTTTGGATATAATTTATATTCAATAGTCTAGAAGAATTAATTTACCTGTTTCAATATGAGATATTTTATCAAGAAAAATGACATAATTTTTCATACTATTTAAAATGGACAAAACTTACAGCTTTATTTGCAAAGGTCTCTTCATAAAAGACTAGCATCACAGCAAACTGTACAACTGCATAGATCTTCAATAGGTAAGGCGCTGACGAGGAGTAGGGAACTTCTTCCCCGGTAACCTAGGAACACAAGGAAGAAGCCTTTCATTGATATCGCTCCCTGGCCTATTCCTCTCACTGAAATTCAGACTATACTATGAAGAGAAGATATGCAAAAAGAAATCAAAGGTTTTGCTATCCCCCTCCCCCGCCACACACATACAAAATGACTCTAACATTCATTTTATGAGATAGAAAAAGTATAAAAGTTAGAACACTTGTTTTTCATTTCAGTATTCTGATTCTGATTTAATCTGCCTTATGTAGAACAAAGTAAGAATTGATTTGGCAATATGTACGGGTGATAAACATAACCAAAATAAACGTGAAAATATGAAAATATAAATAGAAAAATATGTCCATGATTATATGTACATGAAAGTATAGCAAAAGTGAAAATGGAAGGTGACTTTGGGTAGTGGAAATAATTATGCCTCAAAGGGAAATGTTGCTCTATTAGAAACAACTTTCTCAAGCTACAGAGTTTCCAAGAAACACTATGATTCTATTTTTTTAATTCAGATTTAAGCAACAATATGACTTAAAAAATATTAACTTTAGGTTATCTATTTAAAAAACAACAACAAATAGACCATAGTTAACTAGACTTTTTGGAGCTGAAGTAAGCAAAATATTTTCACTTATATCAAGTTAGCTCTTATTATATAATTGACTGAACATAACCAAAAGGATCTGAGAAATTTCAACCTAGAATCTTTCATAACTAGATGAGAAAACAACCTTACTTATATCAGGATATTTTTGAACATAAGAATAACACCCATATGAAATATATTATTTTATTTCCTTGAAATACTGGCTAAATTTTACACTCATAGTTATCTTTGAAATCAACAGTTTTCCATTTCTTTTGTTTCTATATTACTGTTAATGGCAGTTATTTTCATAAGGAACAACAATATAAATCCTGAATAACTGGAAAGACATTCCTTTTCTGTGTCTATAAGAGGAATTCCAGAATAAAACTGAATGTTTCATTTGGTTTCCAGTGTTTTAAATCTCTAGACCTTGCTTATTTTTTGTTTTAAAATGGGATCTCTGTATTTAATGTTTCTATTCTACTACAGAATGAATAATGGTATGGTCTAATCCAATAACTACATCTTGGTGTGACTTTAGACCTTCCATTCTGGAGACCTCAGGTTTTCATGAACAAAATAAAGGCTAGACTAACTCATCTTTAAGGATCCCTCCATCTCCAGTGGTTTAGGATTTTGTGACTAAGCTGCATGGGTTTCTGAACTACACAATGTCTCCTGGCTATGGATTTGGGTGGGTCTCAAAATCGCCTCTGCTGCTCCATCCCCTACCAGTGATGGCGAACCTATGGCACGTGTGTCAGAGGTGACACGCGAACTCATTTTTTTGGTTGATTTTTCTTTGTTAAATGGCATTTAAATATATAAAATAAATATCAAAAATATAAGTCTTTTTTTACTATGGTTGCAAATATCAAAAAATTTCTATATGTGACACGGCACCAGAGCTAAGTTAGGGTTTTTCAAAATGCTGACACGCCGAGCTCAAACGGTTCACCATCACTGCCCTAAACAATGCTCCCTGGGAAGAGAGCAGTGTCTGCCTGGGCGAAGTCACCCCTCTTATTGGCCCCTAGGTGGTGTCCACTCATTAAGTTATACACCACCAGGCTGCATCTGTTTAAGAGAACATCTTTTACATGAAGTCAGCATATACACAGGCTGGCTGTAGACCTCATTATAAGAGACTAATCATCACCATCATCAAACCCAGGAACTCTACTTACCTCGGGGATTTCTTCACTCAGTCCAAGTCTTGGTTTACCTGGTCCCCATCCTGGTCCTTTAAATATGACAGAGAACTTATTGAAGACTCCAGGTGTGGCCCAGAATGTAGTCCACATGTAAGCTAAATGGTGGAACTAGAAGAATAAAAAGTAGCTTATTTAAAATAAAAAATCTCTTAAAAAGATTAAATATAATGAATCATGTATTTAATTTAATGTACTTTACATATTTAAATGTTACAGTAATTTGATTAATGTTAGTTAATATGCAACTGCATTAAAATTATAATTTATTTATGTATTCTGCATACCTTTAAATTTAAATGTGTCCTTGTCAATATCAGAATTATAACTTGGAAGTTAAAAAATAGGTCAATTATTTAAAAACTCAGCAAAGTAGAAAAAGTGGGTTTTAAGAGGCTTTGCTTCCAGTGGAATTAACTAGAATCCTGAGTACTCAATATTCATGTCAAATGACATCTTTTCTAACATCTTGCTAAATGGATATTACCTTGAACATGGAAAGATATAAATATTGCATATATGTCACTTATTTAAAAATAATTATTTACTCTATTGAGTTATAGACAAACATGTCATATGAAGGAAAAATGTTGAAAGCTATTTCTGATAGCAGACCTCTGAGTACTAAATAGGTTATATTCTGTAATAAGAAAAGAAAAACTTTGATGACTGAGTCAAAGGTTTGCCTTGAGGGTTTTAACAGGAATCCCCATTCTTCAAATAGCATATATTTGACATGTAGAGAAGTTAAAAGTAAGTCCATACATGATAAGTACCCAATAAATATTAGCTATTAGGATAATTAGCTATAAATGCCACACTTGTCATAATCCATCATAGGATTAAAAATAATCCAGAGGTTGAATATCTACTATAGACTCTAGAGATGAGTTGTATTATAATTGTAGTAATAAATTCATGTAGAAAGAAGCTTTGGCTCCATACAAATTTGTGGTCTTGCTTGTATTTTCACTGTGTCTCAAAGAATTCAAACTTCTAGGGTTAAAAATGGTTTTAAAAATTGCTTAAAATATTAAATAAGGAATCTTAATTAAGGAACCATTCAGGATTTAGTGAAGCAAATTTTGAGGAAAAAGAAAATGTCAGATGGAAACTTATCCTGGAGCTTTGCAATAATAATAGTAAAAATGTAGAAAGTTAATGTATTTAGAAATTATACATTAATATATACCTGTTGTGTTGTTTTGAAACCTGACTGCAATTTTATATCATACTAGACACAAACCATGAGAAGTGTATGGTAATGTTTTAAAATCAGGAGTACCTTCTCACTTATTTGCTACCCAATGCTCTGAAACTCTTGGACCCCAAAGAAGAGTAGAGTGAATTGTTTATGCCAAATAATAAAGAAAAAAAAATCCCAAGTTTTTTTTTATGCTTCTGAGGACAAGGTGAGAGACTGAGCTGAATATAAGGGAATATAAATGAAAGCAGATATATGTTTTTGTAGGTTCTGGAACTCCTAATTATCACATCTTACTGATTTGACATTTCTGACCATGTGAGTGAGCATGTAGAAGACTAAACCATGGACACTGATGTGACACTACAGTAAAGAAAATGTTTATGTGAGGGTTAGATGCCTGGAAATCTGAAACTGACACAAATTCAGCAGCAGCTCATAAATACTTATTGTGATTATCTGAATAGTGTCTCTCTCCAAATCCTAAGCATCCAACTTTTCGTGCAGCTCATGTTGTACAGTTTCCAATCTCTTCATTCAGCCTCCACATGAGCTGCTCTTCCTCAGCAAGAGTGCACATTTCCAAAGCCTTTCTATTGAAATGCTCAGCCATGAACCAGCAGCACAGACACAGCCTGGGAGCTTGTCAGAAACAGAGTCTTGGACAGACCCAGCCCTGCTGAGCAGAATCTGCACTTTCATCGGATGCTCCCACGATTCACATGCCCTTTAATTTTGAAAGGCTCTGTCATACCTGACAGAAACCAAGTTGTCCAATTCCTTGTTAATCTCCTCACAACAGAGACAAGACTACACAAGTGAAGAAGCAGCTCTCAATGTATTCTTTCCAAATTGGTTTTGATTCTGTAAAGCTTATTATTAAGAAAGTACCCTGAAATGCTTCTTTAGTATTCTCCTGAGACATATGTTCTTAATAATGCCAGAGAGAGAGAAAGAGAGACAGAGAGAGAGAGACCAAGAAACCAAGAGACACCAAGAAAGAAATGCTCTGGAGAAAAAGTAGCCAATTTTTTCTTTTGAAGTATGAGATAAAAATGTCTTTCACTTGAAATAGGAAGGTAATTCGCAATGGCCTTTTCTGTAAAGAGGCAGGAGCGTGTAAAATTTAAATTGAGTTAAGCAAGTTTTGGGCTTGGCTGGGAACCCATCTTGGCTAAGTTCACCCTTAACAAGGTGTGTGTAGTTGGGTGAATCGTTTCAATCCTGAGAACCTCAGTTTCATCCACCAACAACTGGAGCTGGAAAGAACCACTACCTCAAAATGTTTTAGTAATGCTTACATCAAATGTTTATGCTGAGCTGCTAGCAACGCCCTGCACATAGTAACAGCTCAATAAATATCAATTTATTTTTATTTTCACTTTCTTAAAAATGTGAAAAAGTAGGTTTGAAAAGAAGACCCAACATGAACCTGTAATTTTCTTCTTTCCTGGATGCTATACATCTAGTCCCTGGGACGGCGCTGTCATTGACTGACCTCTTTAGGGTTTCAAGCGTTCTTATTTTTTTTAATTTACTAGTCCCTAACCCCAGGAGTGTTTGAAGTGGTCTGCGGCTGATATGTCAGAGCTTCACAGACATTCCTAATTTCTCTAGTGCCAACCATTGAGACCAGTGAACAATCAATACTACATGTAGGACAGAAAACAAGTCTTCGCAGGTGAGGGAACATGCAGACCTAACCAACCCATAATAGTTCCTGGCACACAGATCCAGGAAGAGTGGGCAAAGCCTCACACTGAATTTCTAACCAGAGTCATGCAGACTTGAAGCAAATATTTTTCTTACTGTGGGATCAGCCTTAATTATACATGTTACTACTATCCGTTCTGAATGCATGAATATATTTCAGGTCTATTCTGAGAAAGCATATGTTTGCTAAAGAGCCATGTTTAAATTCTAGGTAGCAGACATGTTTAAAAATTGTATTAATTGCTTTCTAATGTATTTTGCCCAATTTGATTTAAGTCTTTGTTTAAATGCCAGGGTTATTGTCAAATTCTTTCACAACTAAAAATTTTTTTCAGGATAGTGTAATCCACTACTACCTTTAAAAAGTGTATTGATTATTATCCTTTTAATGATAGAATATGATCAATTCAGAAAGAATAAAACTGAGTACATTACCTGCACCTTGAGTGGATCAAATGTATTAATGGGATGTGTCAAACCATATACAACTTTTTTATCCTCTGGCTCAAATGTCCCTGGAAGACAAACATTAAGGATATGATCTTTGACTTTCTGAGAGTTAAGGAGCTAATTAAAATTTGAAAATTCTGATACTTTTTACTTACCAAAAATTCTATCCCATATAATAAGTGTGCCGGCATAATTTTTGTCTATGCAATAACGGTTTCTGCCTATGAGAAAAAATATAAAAAATATTTTTTAAAGAATAAAGTTATGATTCTTGAAATATCTCATCTTGAACCCATTCACAAAATTAAGATTTATGTAACAGAATGATTTTCCTAGGAATGTCTTTCCACTGACACCACTAGCTTTTATTTGCTAGTAAAGTGAGTTTTCATTTTATTTTTCAATTAATTTTACTAAAAAAGAGCAAAGATTTCCTTAAAACTATTAAGAATTATCCCAGATGAAAAAAAAAGTGTTCACAATGTTCCAGATTTTAAAAAATCTTGGATAATTATAAATAATTCTATTTTGGGACTATGAAAAATAATAATTAAAAATTAAATGGTCCAGAAAAAATAGCACTAGGAAATAAGATAGATAATATGTGTAATTTGTATTTTGTTAAAAATTTAAGGGCATTATGTCCACTCATTTTCCCTGCATTTTTTTCAGAAAGAAATTTTCCTACCTAGAGTGAGACATTACTATTTTTAAAAATTATAAAATACATCGTGAAAATCAAATTAACCTCAATTTTTTTATTTACTCATAACATTTGTGATATTTTTTTCTGCTCTAAAATATTCAAATTATAATTTAAATAGCTGGGCATAATTTATTTAATAATAACAAAAGACACAATCCAATGGTTGTCAATAGGATAAAGAATATTAACCCACCAAACCACTACTCCAACAAACCCACTGTCTTCTGGTGTTCTCATTTCTTTACACACCTTCCCCATATGCAAATACACATTTTTTTCCCTTTATTGAATAAGATATTACAAATGTGTCCTTATCACCCCAATGTCCCCTCATCCCCCCAATCCTGCCCTCACCCTCACCCCCTGTTGTCCACATCCATCACTTATGCTTATATGCATGCATACAAGTCCTTTGGTTGATCTTTCCCCCTCACCCCCACCCTCTCCTGCTTTCCCTCCGAGTTTTGAGCATCTGATCGATGCTTCTCTGTCTCTACATCTGTTTTTCTTCATCGGCTTACGTTGTTCATTATAATCCACAAATGAGTGAGAGCATGTGGTATTTATCTTTCTCTGACTGACTTATTTCACTTAGCATAATGCTCTCCAGCTCCATCCATGCTGTTGCAAATGGTAGGAGTTCCTTCCTTTTTACAGCAGCACAGTATTCCATTGTGTAGATGTGCCAAAGTTTTTTAATCCATTCATCTGCTGATGGGCACTTAGGCTGATTCCAAATCTTAGCTATCAAATACACATTTGAAAGTTAAAATATCAGGAAAAATCTCCCACCAGTACAAAAGTAGTGGGGCTGGTACACAGATACACAACCTGTGGCCATACACGGTGTAAACAGTGGCTCTCAGTTGGATCGGGGAGCACTTTGCCCGTTAGGGGACATGTGGCAATGTCTGAAGACGTTGGTAGTCACCACTGCGAGGGGATATTACTGGCATCTCCTATGTAGAGACCAACAAGCTGTAATACACAGGACAGCCCCCTTGGCCCAAAGAGCTAGCTGATCTTTTTAAAATTAATATTAAAATGTTAATAGTGCTGAAGTTGATATAAAGCAACATGTGTGGGAAGGCACTCTGAAATCCAACAGGGGAAACTCTAAACTATTTCTTTTTCAAAGTGGCCTTGCTCTTCTCCACTCCTTATGGTTCTTTTTATATGGAGGAATCCCAAGAGTATAACACTCTTTGCCTCTCCACCCTTCACTAATGATGCCCTTGTGGTAGGGGAATGGCTGTTGACTTTACAGGAGGCAACTGAACATGTATAGCATGACCTTGTCCTCTCCTCTTTCTGGGGGAGCTTGGGCACCCACTCTGCCCCCTGCCATGGGAAAAGGGATCTGCTGTGCCCCTGTGCTGATTGCTGGAAACTTATAAAACAGAGCAATAGTATTTCTTCTTTTATTACTGGCTTCTTTATCTCAACATCATGTGTGAAGATTCATTCATGCCATTGCGTGTCATAATAGTGTTGTCAAGGGGATATAGTTCCCCATCACCGTGCCCCTGTGCTGATTGCTGGAAACTTATAAAACAGAACAATAGTATTTCTTCTTTTATTACCGGCTTCTTTATCTCAACATCATGTGTGTAAGATTCATTCATGCCATTGCGTGTCATAATAGTGCTGTCAAGGGGATATAGTTCCCCATCACATTCAAAGTGGCCTTGCTCTTCTCCACTCCTTATGGTTCCTTTTATATGGAGGAATCCCAAGAGTATTAACACTCTTGGCCTCTCCACCCCTCACTAATGATGCCCTTGTGGTAGGGGAATGGCTGTTGACTTTACAGGAGGCAACTGAACATGTATAGCATGACCTTGTCCTCTCCTCTTTCTGGGGGAGCTTGGGCACCCACTCTGCCCCCTGCCATGGGAAAAGGGATCTGCTGTGCCCCTGTGCTGATTGCTGGAAACTTATAAAACAGAACAATAGTATTTCTTCTTTTATTACCGGCTTCTTTATCTCAACATCATGTGTGTAAGATTCATTCATGCCATTGCGTGTCATAATAGTGCTGTCAAGGGGATATAGTTCCCCATCACATGAACTGTCTGCAGTTTGTCTGGTTCTACTGCTGATAAACATGGGAATTAGGTCTCTTTTGCTCCTGTTACATGTATTGCTGACATGCACATTCTTGTCCAGGTCCTTGGGTGCACAATGCAAACATTTCTGGTATTTCTTAAGCTGGCATCTTGAATCTTTAGGCACTAGCCATATGGGTCTTTCTCTTTGTCAAGCAAATGCAGTGCAGGCAAGATTTGTTCACAGAATTGAAGCAGAAAAGTAAATTGTTTCTTGTTAGGCTTTTCTCGAATCCCAACAGTTTTCAAAACCAGGCACACTCTGGCTCTAGATAGGAATGACTCTCAGCATCAGGTAAAGGAGTGGCCTTCAAGATATAAAGTGTACATCCATCCACTCAGCTGTTTAGCTCAATTTTTGTTTGTTTGTTTGTTTGTCCTCCCACTATACCTGAGGAGATTCAGGCAAAAAGAAAAATCCAAAAGCCAGATAAGAAGTTGATGTTGGGGGGTGTTTTTGTTTGTTTGTTTCTGGTTCTAGCTTTGGAGATTCAAAGGAAGAAGAGATGCCTACTTACACAGTGTGTGCTGACTATGTTGGGTAATTACAATGAAATGATGAAAACTAATATCATTTTAAATAAATGAAAAAGGACAGAGAGAAGAGATCAATTTCCTTACCATGATGTACCCTGTGATGGCTAGGCGTGTTAAGGATCAGTTCCAAAGGACCAAGGTTATCAATGACCTATTTAAAGCAAAAGGAATCTTGATTTATATACGCAGTTATTATTAAATGCACATGTAACATATAAGTACTCACATTAAAAACCCTCATGGGTTAACATATATTAAAAGTTTCAGGGTTGGCATCAGAATTGGAAGTTTTTCTATCACTTGGTGCTTACATAAAGACAGAAATAAGCTCATACATCTATTCTGAGAGTCTACTATTAGGTTAAGAGCTAGAATGCCTCAGTTTGGTTCCTGGATTCTCCATTTATCACTCTGTTCTTGGGAAAATAACAAGCTTTTTATAACTCCATTTTGTCACCTTTAAAATGGAAGTAATAACAGTATCTACATAATAATGTTCTGAGAATTTTAAATGTTACTGTAAAATGGTTCTATTGCCAACGCATAATTCTCCTTTTATTTTTTACCTTTCAACTATGTCTTTGATTATTTATATATTTTTAATATTTTTTATTGATTTTTCAGAGAGGAAGGGAGAGGGAGAGAGAGATAGAAACATCTAAGATGAGAGAGAATCATTAATCGGCTGCCTCCTGAAAGCCCCCCTCTGGGGATTGAGACTGCAACCCCAGCATGTGCCCTTGACCTGAATCAAACCCAGGACCCTTCAGTCCACAGGCCAATGCTCTATCCACTGATCCAAACTAGCTAGGGTTGTCTTTGTTGATTTATGTTAGCAGAACATGAATAGGGGAGAGAAAATACAGTATTATATTTATTTTGGAGGTTGGTTTCACCCAATAATCAGCCATGTGGCAACAACTTACTATTGTAGCTGTTTATCTATTAGGGTGATCCTGCTCATTCAAATAGAATCCTAACTTGTCTTTTACCTGTAGATATACCATCTACCAGTGTATCCTAGAGGCACAAATCAACGTCAAATATATAAATGGGTCTTTTTTTATAATTCAAAAGTCCTTTCAAAATTTGGTATTCTCTTGCAACATTTATCAGTAAGAATCCACTGTTCCAGAGTCTGTAAATCGTAAGGAGTATAGGAACCAGGTAGGTGTAATAAACAAGAATAGCAGGCCATGTATAAAAAAGACAGTAGTTATGTTATATAATTAATATTGGGCAATGTTGGAACCTTTTAAATCTCAATTACATTATTCTTTCTTCCATGGGCTACAGCAGATAACAGAATATTTTACTTTCCTTAATCACTATTTAAATGGGTTTATTAGAGCCTGCCAATGACAAAAAATAATACACTGTTATGATATTTTACAAAATTACTCACCCCTAGTGTTAAGTTCCATTTAGAGGATATATAAGTTCTTAAAAAATTTTAAATAATCCTTAAGGGAATGTGATATTGATGCGCCACATAAATTTGGTAACATTGACATGAATTCATGACATTGACATGAATTTGGTAACAAGTCAGTGATATGGGGGAAAAAAGTCAGAGGGGACTGCTTAAGATGAAAAAGTATTTCAAATAGATAACAACCAATGTTGTGAGGAATCTTGTTTGAATACTGATTTGAACACAGTAAACATAAGAGACATTTTATAGGCAATGTGAGAAATTGATTATAAACAGTGTTATACGATAAAAGCATAGTTTGGGAGTTATAATGCATCATCATTATGTAGGATATGTAACTTTTATAGTTGTGTAACTGAAGTATACGTGACATGAGATCTAGGTTTTGCTACAAAATATTTTGCAATAAAAATAAAATTAAAAAAAAGATAGCTCATGCAAATTATTCAAAACCATAATGATTTTTTAATGGAAGGGATGGAGATACATAAATTCATTCTATTATTAATTCTACTTTTCTGAATAGTTGAAGATTTTAAGATAAAATTTTAAGTGAAAGATGCCCTAACTGGTTTGGCTCAGTGGACAGAGCGTTGGCCTGCAGACTTAAGGGTCCCAGGTTCGATTCCGGTCAAGGGATACCGTGGTGGTTGCGGGCACATCCCAGTAGGGAGTGTGCAGGAGGCAGCTGAATTGATGTTTCTCTCTCATCAATGTTTATAACTCTCTATACCTCTCCCTTCCTCTCTGTAAAAAATCAATAAAAAATATATTTAAAAAAATTTTTAAGTGAAAGAAACTGTTACTCTAATAATATACAATAATGCACAGTTCAAATAGATCCCTAAAATCCCAAACATACTTCTAGAATACAACTCTATATAGCAGGGCTTAATCATTGTTTGACATTCTCTGACATGAAAACACCCAATTTACAAGCGTTCTGCCAATGTGCAGAGCCACAGCAGCCACTCCATCCTCAGCTTGTGGGGCCTGTACCCTCTTGAAGTAGAAATGATGGCAGTGTGGCCACATAACAATGCTGCATGTGTCCGTGGGGCAGGTGCCACCATCTCCTTATCAGACCCACCATTAACCCACCTGAGGGTTACAGAAACATTGGCATGCAAAGGATATATAATATTACTTGTTGTATGATAATTTAGGCCTCTTTCCCTCTCTTCTAATGGAGTTCTATCACCATTTTTAAAGTTATTTCCATGAGAAATGTATTATGAGATGCAAACAACAGACTTTTTGATTAATTCACAGAATTCATAGACAAAGGACTATCTGTATTTTCTTTATTTCAAGACTTCAAAATACTGTGAATAGGTAGCCTTTATATCAAATGGCATTTCTATGAAGTATTATGTCACTAACACATTATTAGTGACCAAGAATTGGAAATGGAGTAGGGAGAAAGAACCCTGTATTTTATTAGCCTACATTGCTTTGTACTTGGTGGAAAAATATTTGCTGAGAAGAATGGCGATGGACAGAGAACAAGAAAGTGGGGTTTCTCAGTAGTCAGAACATTGAAATCGGATGCTTTGGTTGGGATTTGTCTCTCTGGCATAGAATCATATGGGAAAGGAGAATACCATTTTATCCTTGTTTGTCTCCCTGGTGCCTAACATATGTTACAAAAACAGCCAACAAAAGGGGGTGGAGGAGACTACAGGGCCAGCTTCTGCAACCCAGATGCATTTCTGATCATTGGCCCTGGCATGTGTGTGCAGCCAGATTTAAAGCCACACAAATGCTGAGTGCATTCAGATGATTGGAGCCTTGGCGGAGTGCATTGTTTTTTAATGTCAAGCTCTTTTTTCCTCAAAGAAAATCTTTTGCTCCTGCAGGCTACAGCATGGTGGTATCAATATTGAAAGTTCCTTTCTTTCTTTTTTTAAAGTTAAAAGCCAAGTACAACACAGGCAACCACAGTTAAATTTCCTGGTAGTGCCTATGAGTACCTTGGAGCTGGGAAAGACCACCTCCGTGTGGGAGATGATTCATCATTCAGACAAGCCCAGTCAGAACCTCTCTAGTGGAAAACCCTTCTGATTCAAAGTCAAAGAGAAGTCATTAATAATTAATAAGGGTTGAGCATAACGACTCAATTATCACCCACTTTTGCAAATTCAGTCATTTAGCAATTCCACCAAAGCTCGCTTTGAATCACTTCAGAAAAATACTGTGGAGATAATTGCAGCTATTTTCATTTTTAGAAGTTAGTTATTTGTCTTTTTTTTTAAATTTAAATGTATTAATTTAAATGATGAAATTTTAGAATGTACAGAGGACTTAAAAATAATATAGTCCAATATTCTATTATTTTAAAAAGCATAAAAATGAAGCTCACAGAAATTAAATTTCTAAAGCAAGTTTAAAGGGCTTGGGAGGAAGCCCTAGAGTTGTTTCTGTTTTAGTTCAGAAATCGTTCCAGTTTTCTATCATTTTGCTTTTAAGTGGTTTAGCAATTTTTCTATCAAATAGAAGTAATTTATTCTTTTAGAACTTTAATGGAAAATAATAACTAAATGCTTTTTTACTACATTTCCATTAAAAATGAATCCTGGAATTTATAAAGACTGCAGTGATTTCAGCTTCTATACTGCCTCTCATGGATTTTAGGCACTGTTGGTGCTTCTTCGGTCTTTGACGCAATGCATCCTGTAGTTTTCTCTTAGGGTTTTATAACCTGAGGGCCAGGTTATAAAACCTGACTAGAATGATTTATTATAAAAGTATTTCATTTTACACATTTCTTAATGTTTCTTATTCTTCTTATTGGGAAGCATTGACTGGTTAGATTTCTGTAGGTCAGTTAAGAATACAGAAACAATTAACCAATGGTCAAGTTGAAGAACAAGCCATTTTTAACAAAAATATTCAGTTAATTCAAGACAAAAAGTATTTTCTTTGTCTGAATTGCTTGGAAAATTGCCTCTTCTCACTTCACTATGGCTACTGAAGTTGGAGAAAAGAAATTCTAAATACAATAAAAAAAACCCTCTTAATTCTATTGTTTTGTTTAATTTTAGACTAATAGTGGGAATGTTGCATTATCTGCAAATTGGCACTAAAAATACTGGAACATATTATTGAAAGGCCATAGGAATATTTATAAGTACTTACTTTTCAGAAAGAAGGCAGATGCCTACACTTAATTACAATGTTCTTTCCAAATAAGAGATGCTTACACATATTCATGCTTCCTGTCTGAGAGGGAAAAATCATAATAGGGAAAATATGTCCGCAGAAGCGTGTGCTTTACAGAATCCACATTATAAAGACGAATGTGCTAACAATATGATAAATGCTGAGGAGTGACTGGGTTGGGGGTGAAGTGAAATAAAATCTCCATAGTAGGAAAATGCCTGCATTCAGATGAGCATAGGTTAGAGTGATGACATTGACTCTAACTAGTCAAGACTTTTCTTCACAGCATCATGCATGATTGATGTTCCAGAGGGACCCATACCATTGTGGGCCTCCATGTTTCACTGCAGTAAGTATTTAAGGGAAATACTAAACCAGCTCCTAATACATTTATCATCTTATATAAAAATCATGGTTATGTTTTATTGAACTAAGAAAGATTTGCTTGAAGTGCAGTGTGAAAATGAGAAAAGTTTTCAGGTAAATTAGTGGCAATGTTCAATACAAACCTAAACTAAAATTAAATAGACTAATAGTTATACCATGATTACTGG